GACCGCATTTTTTTCTAAGCAGAATTAAAAGCAAAAGAAATAATAAATAGAGATCTTCATGTGGAAAAAAAAAATGAGCCCAGATGGAAAGATGAAACTACAGGAAGAAATGGGCAAGAGAAAACATAAATATGTGGGTAACTCTAAATAAACAATGATGGTACATAGTAGTCATCCTCTGGGACTTAATGTAAAATTGAAGTGCACAAAAACACATAAGATGGGGAAAACAGTAAACAAAGCTGAAGTATTCTAAGATCAAGCATTGTCTATAAAAGAGCAGAAGTAGTACTCCAATGAGTAAAGAATACATATCATCAGGATAACTTCTAAGGGAATAATGAAAACGGTAAAATTAACAAGGTAATGGGGAATGGAAAAAAAGATTAATTCAAAAGACGGCTACAACAGAGAGACAGATACATATGAGGAAAAGGACCATAAAACTGGGCAAATAGAAAACAGATAGTAAGATTGTAATTATAAATCCACACACATCAGTCAGATTACATTAAGCATACATCACTTTGCTGATTAAATACAATGCTAGTGTCCATGCAGCCATATTCAGGTAAGTAAATTTTAAATTATCAGCACTTCAGAAATCCATATGCCTCTATACTGTATCATAAACTTCCTCACCATAAATGGCATATGTGGTACTAATCTCCTTGTTTTACTCTCCAGATTTACTATGCAGCTTAGAATCCCTGAATCACACACTTTGCTTTTTGGCTATTTTTGAACTTCATTTAAATGGAATCATACACGTCTTTTGTGTCTGCTTTCCAATCATACTTTGTGGGAATAATCCATACTGTTGCATGTGACTGCAGTTCCTTCATTTTCATTCATGCACAACATTCCACTGTACAGATTTACTGTAATTTCCTTTTCAACTGTAGATGGACACTTTCCTTTCAGTTTTTGGCCGTTATAAAAAATGCTGCTAATAAACATTCCTATACATATATTCTATGGCATATCAACATGCAATAGGCATACCTCTAACTAGGGAATATCAAGAGATGGGACTGCCAGGTCAAAGGATATTCATATCTTTGATATTTCCAGATAATGCCAATTTTCTTTTAGACTACTATACCAATTTACTCACCCAACAACAAAATATTAAATACAACTTCCTTTATTTCAAAACCTCACCAATACCCAGTAGTCAGATTTTTAAATGTATTTTTTCCTTACCTGATATGAAATGATATCTCATTGTGGTTTTAATTTGCATTTCCCTGATTACTAATGAACACCTTTTCATATGTTTATTGGCCATTTCGAACTCCTCTTTTGTGAAGTGGATGCACAAGTCTTTTGCCCATTTTTCTTTTGTATTATTTGGCTTTTACTCATTGACTTGTTGAAGTTCTTTATATATATTCTGCGTACTAGTCCTCTACAGGTGTATGTGCTGCGAGTATCTTCAACTCGGATGGCCTGTCTTCTCACTATCTTTATAGTGCCTTTTGAGAAAAGAAGTTTCTAATTTTAATGTGGTAAAATTAATCCATTTTTCTTTTATGGCAAGGGCATTTATGTCTTAAGAAATCTTTCCCTACCCAAGTTCATGAAGACATTATATATTCTAAAAGCTCTATAATTATAATATTCTAATATTCTATTCTAATATAATTCTAATATCTAAAGCTTTATAATACATATTCTAAAAGCTTTATAATTTCCTTTAGATATTTTTAGTTCCTTAATCCACATGAGTTTGTTTTTATAGCTTTACATAGGGGTCCAATTTCATATTTCCCCCAACATAAACAGCAAACAAGATGGTACCATTTACTAAAAGTCAATCATTTCCCAAATGATTGACTGCCACACAGTCTCCACCACATATCACACGTACATACATACATGGGTTTCTGGACTCTCTACTGTTACACTGATCTACTTGTCTAGCACGTGCCCATCTCATACTCTGCTATTACTGTAGCTTTGTAATATCCTAACATCTGATGGCAAATTCCTTCCATTTTGTTTCTCTAAACAGTATCCTGAGCTCTGAACCCACTGCATTTTAGAATCACGTTAAGTTCTATAAAATTACACACTGAGATACTGACTGAAATTGTACTCTATGATGTGGACAAAGGAGTATTATATTTATATAGTGTATCTTTTAAATTGCTTTTTCTTTAATATCTAACATTTTATATTTTCTTCAGCTATTGTTTGTCTTATTAAATGTATTCCCAGGTACCTGATAAGTTTTGGGGCTTCTATAATGGTATTACAGCTTTTCCAAAATTTTATTTCCTAATTGTTTCTATCTTGTATTCTCAACAGGAATACAAAAGATTTCTTAGATATTTGAATTCAGCAATCTTCTTTTACTCTTATTAATTTTAATAATCTGTAGGCTTCACTGGATTTCATACATACACACCCCAGTCACCCAAAAATAGTAATAATATTGTTCCTTCTTTACTATACTTTGTATTTTTCTTTTTCCCCCAATTTTTTGGCATTCTTGCATTAGCTAAGACATTCAGTATGTTATATAAAATGGTGACAGCAGGCGTCTTTCTTTTGTATCTCCAAGGAACACTTCCAATGTTTCACCATCAGATTTGTCTTAGGGTTTTTGTAGATAATTTTTGTCAGATTAAAGAAGTTACCTCTTATTCTGAGTTTGCCAAGAATTTATTTTAATCATAAATGGGTATTTTATCAAGTCCTGTATCTATAGTGAGTTGTGAGTTGATAATGGTTTTTCTCCAGGCAAATCACATTATTTATTTTATTTTTTGAGACAGTCTTACTCTGTTGCCCGGGCTGGAGTGCAGTGGCGTGATCTCAGCTCACTGCAACCTCTGCCTCCTGGGTTCAAGCGATTCTCCTGCATCAGCCTCCCGAGTAGCTGGGACTGCAGGTTCGTGCCACCATGCCTAGTTAATTTTTTTTTTTTTTTTTTTTTTGAGATGGAGTTTTGCTCTTGTTGCTCAGGCTAGAGTGCAATGGTGTGATCCTGGCTTACTGCAACCTCTGCCTCCTGGGTTCAAGCAATTCTCCTGCGTCAGCCTCCCAAGTAGCTGGGATTACAGGCATGCACCACCATGCCCAGCTAATTTTGTATTTTTTTTTCTTTTTGAGATGGAGTCTAGCTGTGTCGCCCAGGCTGGAGCGCAGTGGCAAGATCCCGGCTCACTGCAAGCTCCGCCTCCCAGGTTCACGCCATTCTCCTGTCTCAGCCTCCTGAGTAGCTGGGACTATAGGTGCCCACCACCATGCCTGGCTAATTTTTTGTATTTTTAGTAGAGACGGGGTTTCACCAGGATGGTCTCGATCTCCTGACCTCGTGATCCACCTTGGCCTCCTGAAGTGCTGGGATTACAGGCATGAGCCACCGCACCCGGCCTAATTTTGTATTTTTAGTAGAGACAGGGTTTCTCCATGTTGGTCAGGCTAGTCTTGAACTCCTGACCTCAGGTGGTCTGCCCGCCTCGGCCTCCCAAAGAGCTGGGATTACAGGCATGAGCCACCGTGCCTGGCCAATTTTTTAATTTTTAATTTTTTTTTTAGCAGAGATGGCGTTTCACCATGTTGGTCAGGCTGGTCTCAAACTCCTGACCTCAAGTGATCCACCTGCCTCAGCCTCCCAAAGTGCTGGGATTACAGGCATGAGCCACCACGCCCAGCCACATGAATTGATGTTTAATTGTTAAACCAAGGTTCCCATACTCTTGAGTCAAACTCAACTTTTGTAGACTATTGAACTTGTTTACTAGTTATCTTGTTTAGGACACCTGCATCTATTTTGTGGTTTAAAGCAGGCTGTAATTTTCCATTTCTATAAAATTTTAAAATTGATTTTATAATAGTATTAGGGTTATGCTAGTCTCATAAAATGAGCTGAAGAACATTCCCTTTTTTTCTGTTCTTTGGAAGAGTTTGCTTAAAGCTGGTGTTATTTCTTAAATATTTTATAAAACTCACCATTAAAGCAATCAGATTCAAGTTACACATTTGTTACACCTATCCGCACATTCACCATGGGCTGAGAGTGCTGCCTCAGTTTTATAAATCCCAGGGTTCTTCCTTCAGAATAGAACATGAGATAGATTTGTTCATATAACAGACACAAACCACTGCTAAACTGGATATATTTTTCTATAAAGTGCTATTTTAATGGTGTCTTTTTCACTTCCATCACTACCACTTTTTATTTTTTGTTACTTCATGAGTTTCAGCACATGCATCAATAAGGGGTCACACTACAAAGTGTCACTGAAATGCGGCTCTTGCCTTCATGAACTAAATGCCTCCTTCACAGAGGCTTCCTGGCTTAAAACAAAATGTGGTCACAACTGCATGTTAAATCCCCCAACACAAACATAAATGGTTTAGATCTGTAATGCTTCTCCTTTGTTTTAGAGTCTCCTTGTGTACGCATAGTTATTTGTGGGAGAGGGTGTTCTTCAAACAATGGCCATCATTCAATCTACTTATCTTTGATTTTATGTTTTCCTCTTTTTAAAAACTCAAGTATAGGGCCAGGTACAGTGGCTCATGCCTGTAATCCCAGCACTCTGGGAGGCAGAGGCAGAGGTAGGCAGATTGCCTGAGCCCAGGAGTTCCAGACCAGGCTGGGCAACATGGTGAAGCCCTGCCCCTACAAAAAAATACAAAAAATTAGCCCAGTATGGTGATTGCACACCTGTAGTCCCAGTTACCTGGGAGGCTGAGGTGGAAGATCACTTGAGCCCAGGAGGTCGAGGATGCAGTGAGCCGTGACTGTACTAGTATACTCCAGCCTGGGCAACAAAGTGAGACTCTATCTCAAAAACACCCACAAAACCCTAAAACCAAAAAAAACCCACAACTGAAGTATAATATGTAAAAGTAAAACTACAGGACATTTTAAGAGTCAATGTTAAGAATAATCAATATTATAAAGATCCAAAACTGTGATGAAGAAAAAATTCATTATTATAAATTTAGATAAATTTATGCATGTTTGCAGAAACACCTACCTTTCAGAAACAGACTTATTTTGATCTGCTGACAAATTAATTTTTTTACTTCCTTTTTCTGAAGGGTTAGAAGGCTCATAATTCACAGAAGGCCTTTCAACTGGACTATTAACTGACTCCAGATTCTTATCCAAAATCATAGCCTCTGAATTTGCAACCTATTAAATACGTGAGAAAAAAGCAGTTGAGGGGAATTTTACCAATCGTATCCTTCCAAACAAAATAAGGATTTTCAAAGTATTCTTGCATACATATGGCAAAACATAAGTTAAATCACATGTATTTCGATGGCTGATGACCATGATTGTGATTTGCCTGCCAAAATGAATTTTTAAAAACACTGAAGAAATAAAAATGATGGTATACATCAACTTCCTAGCTTGGATGGAAAGAAGGAAAAACAAATGTTCAGGTACTTAGACAACACTGTATTCCTGTTAGACTAAGTTTTAGGAACTAATAACTTAAGAAAATTTTACTTTTGTTATACTTCTAATAAGACTAAAAATAACTCAGATTGCTAACTTGCTCTTCCAATTGCTGAGTTTATTTAAAACTTGAAGCTGAAACATTCAGTGTTCTCAGCTTTGGTTAAGAATTTGCAGCATTTTATATATATGTAAATATATATGTACATTAATTCAAAAGGATCAAGGGACAGCATGAACAAAAATGTACTGGGTGCCATGGAAGCCGGGGCACCTGTCTGTTGCCCCAAACCCGTAGCAGTGGTGGCTAACCCCCCAATTCTATACTTGCAGGATCGGGGGCCCAGTTCACCACAGCAGCACTATCAGTTGGGTGCTCATCTGACATCTGGGGCAATGGCAGGCCCAATCCGTTGCAGTGGTAGTGACCATAGGCCAACTTTTCCTGAATTTCCCACCCAATAGCACTGGGGATTGAGGTGGCACCTGCAGGGGCTAAATGGGAGACACTGTGGAGCCAGAAGAGTGAAGCTAAGCAGTATGACACTGTAAGAGCTCTGAAAAGTAAACTGTCATTGAAACCGCAGCTTAAAAGAAGAGGCCAGGATCTACACACTAAAGCTAAACAGGGGAACTTCCTGCTGAAAGAGAGTCCTATGCTTAGTGTTTTCTAAGAGCCCTCCATGTGACTGGATACTGAGACATTTGATCCTTCCAAGGCAGTAGCAAAAGGGTGTCCAGCCAAAATCTTGACTTTCTCTGCATACTCTTCTGACAGTGAGCCTCCTAGAGTCTTCTGCAATCTGGACAGGTTGAGAATTGCCTAAATCATTAAGTCCTGATTCCTTTCTGCTAAACAGTTTCTTCTTCAGTTTTTCTTTTTCTCACATTGTAAAAAGAAGCAAGAGGAAATCAGGCCAAACCTTCAACACTTTGCTCAGAAAACTCACACGCCCCGTAATCCCAGCTACTCAGGAGACTAAGGCATGAGAATTGATTGAATCCAGGAGGCAGATGTTGCAGTGAGCCGAGATTGTGCCACTGCACTCCAGCCTGGGCAACAGAGCCAGACTTTGACTCCAAAAAATAAAAAGAAGAAATAAAATCTCCTAAGTCAAACAAAATCCAAATTCATTGTTTACAAGTTCTGCTTTCCATGTAACTGTAAGATACAATGCAACTAAACTTCCTGCCACTATATAACACAAATCGCCTTTCCTCCTGTTTCCAATAAATGTTCCTCACTTCCTTTCAAGTCCTCACCAACAATGCTTTTAATGTCTATATTTCTACCAAAAGTTTGTTTATGATCTAGGTATTAAGTCCATGGTAGGTTTTCTCCACTGTGCTCCTCATTTCCTTTTAACCCCCACGGGCAGTCTTTAACTTCCAAATTTCTACTAAGAGTCTGTTCAAGTCAATCTAGCCTTTTTATAAAGCATGCTCCTCAAAACTCTTCTAGTCTCTAAGCACTACCCTACTCCAAAGCCACTTTCACATTTTTAGGTATTGGTTATAGCAGCACCCCATACTTCCCGATACCAAATTCTCTGTAAGTTTCCTGAAGTTACCTTAACAAATTACCACAAACTGCATGGCTTATTTTATCACAGTTTTAGAAGCCAAAACTTTGAAATCAGTTTTACTAAGCTAAAATCAAGGTACTGGCCTTCCTTCTGGAGGCTGCCTGTTTCTGGACTTGAGGCCCTCCTCCATCTTCAGTGTACTTCATTCTCCATCCTTTGCTTCCATTGTCTCATTTCTTTTTTCTGCTTTTGACCTTGCCACATGTTTTGTAAGAACCCTTTTGATTAAAATGAGCCCACACAGATAATCCAGGATTAACTACCCATCATCTCAAGGTACTTAATAATACCTACAAAGACTCTTTTCACCATGTAAGGTAACGTATTCACAAGTTCTGAGAATTAGGTCATGGACATCTTGCAGGGACCATTTTTTCCATCTACCACAGCTGTAGAAGGTCGAAAAAACACTATCAACTATCTTGGCACAATTAACTCAAACATGACATTTACAGAACATTACAGCCAACATTCTGTACATGGAACATTCATCAAGTGAATATGCTGGCCTATAAAGTAAGTTCAACTTTCAAAATTTAAGGTTTACATAGTATGTTCTCTGACTAAATGAAATCAGGTATTAGAAAAATAAAATACCTAGAAGTCACAAATATTTTGAAATTAAACACACACTTCCAAATAATTCACAGGTCAAAGAATACAAGGAACATTATAAATCATTTTGAACTGATGGAAAACAAAGATATGACAGAACCCATGACAAAAACCACATGATTATCTCAAAAGATGCAGAAAAGGCCTTTGACAAAATTCAACACTTCATGCTAAAAATCTCAATAAACTAGGTATTGATGGAACGTATCTCAAAATAATAAGAGCTATTTATGACAAACCCACAGCCAATATCATACTGAATGGGCAAAAACTGGAAGCATTCCCTATGAAAACTAGCACAAGAGAAGGATGCCCTCTCTCTCACTACTATTCAACATAGTATTGGAAGTTCTGGCCAGGGCAATCAGGCAAGAGAAAGAAATATGGGGTATTCAAATAAGAAGAGAGGAAATCAAATTATTTTTCTTTGTAGATAACATGACTGTATATTTAGAAAACCCCATCATCTCAGCCCCAAATCTCCTTAAGCTGATAAGCAACTTAAGCAAAGTCTCAGGATACAAAATCAATGTGCGAAAATCACAAGCATTCCTATACACGAATAACAGACAGAACCAAATCATGAGTGAACTCCCATTCACAATTGCTACAAAGAGAATACCTAGGAATCCAACTTACAAGGGATGTGAAGGGCCTCTTCAAGGAGAACTACAAACCACTGCTCAAGGAAATAAGAGAGGACACAAATAAATGGAAAAACATTCCATGCTAATGGATAGGAAGAATCAATACTGTGAAAATGGCCATACCGCCCAAAGTAATTTATAGATTCAATGCTATCCCCATCAAGCTACTATTGACTTTCTTTACAGAATTGGAAAAAAATACTTAAAATTTCATATGGAACCAAAAAAGAGTCCACATAGCCAAGACAATCCTAAGCAAATAGAACAAAGCTGGAGGGATCACGCTACCTGACTTCAAACTATACTACAAGGCTACAGTAACCAAAACAGCATGGTACTGGTACCAAAACAGATATATAGACCAATGGAACAGAACAGAGGCCTCAGAAATACCACCACCTATCTACAACCATCTGACCTTTGACAAACCTGACAAAAACAAGCAATGGGGAAAGGATTCCCTATTTAATAAATGGTGTTGGGAAACCTGGCTAGCCATATACAGAAAACTGAAACTGGACCCCTTCCTTACACCTTATACAAAAATTAACTCAAGATGGATTAAAGACTTAATTGTAAGACCTAAAACCATAAAAGCCCTAGAAGAAAACCTAGTTGTTAGGAACAGTTTCTCTTCAAAGGGTTTGACCCCCCTTGTTCTTTGTTCTATTTTATAAGTAATCTTTCCTGCCTTTAACATGCCCAGGCATGCCTCCATCCACCAAGATTGTAGCCGACCCACACTGCCTTAAAGTTAATAGGTACAAACAATAAACTTCCTGGTTCTCTGTCCTATTCTAAATGCTAAATCTAGTCAATCAGGATCAGTTTAGATTGTGAGGTCTGACCCCAATTAACGGGGAAGGTGGGGGGGAGGCAGGGAGGACACAGAAACGGTAACAACATTAGGAATAAAAACCCTTGCTTTCCTTTGTTTGGTGTGCTCTTGTGATTGTGACTGACACAGGCAGCACCCTTCTCAGAAGTAAATCTGCCTTGCTGAGAAGTCTTTTGAGTGTTCGTTTTCTTTGCGACTCCCAGCTCATTTCTAACAATTTGGGGGCCCTGCCCAGGATCCCATTCTCCTCCAGGGAAGGGTCTCTAGTCATCTTCTGGGAGGGGATGCATCCCACTAACTCGGTGCAGTGGCCTCAAAGGCTGGAGATCGAGACCCACCCACTGTGACGAATAAACCTGGAATCTCAGCAATGTGAGAAGAGAAGGCCTACAAATACCATGGCGACCAGGTAACTCTGTGCACAGACCAAGGTAAGAAAAGCCACTGGGGCAGTGAAGTGCTTCCTTGATGGTCTGGATATCTTGGAGGTTGAAAGCGCGTGAATGGTAACAAGCACTACTGCTGTGCGGAGTGAGTGAGTCCAATCTACGGTTCCATGGTCCACTCATATGGCTTATGGTGGCCCTTCAGAGGTCCCATAAGGGGTTTATACTGATCCACCAATGTTAAGAGGTACCTAAATTTCCTCTGGGGAAGTGGCCAGAGAAGATGAAGCAAAAGAAGAGTGCAAGAAACCTCCAGTGGTGGGGGTCCGTGGAGGCTCTAGGAAAGGAAAGGCAAGAAATCTCCAGTAGGGGGCACTGAGCCTCACACAAACCTCCAATAGTCGGGAAGGCAAGAAATTTCCAACAGGGAAAATTAAGCCTCACCACAAAACCCCCAAGATGGGAAATACCCCAAATAAGGTAGGGCATAAAAAGGATAATGCTAGCAGGAATAACATTCCCCGATTGCTCCCTAGGGCTTATGTTAAAATATTGGAAAGATAATGAAAGGACTAAACACAAGAAAAAGCAACAGATGACAAAATATTTTTGTTATATCTAGACTCAGGAACCAATCCTCGAACCCTCCGTTTTCTGG